TGCTTTATCTAACGTTAATGTACTCACGTCTTCCTCAAATAGACGATTCAAAATTGCTTTATCCTCCATGCCAACTATAAACTTATCACGCATCGCAACACTTAATTCAGATCCAAATTTACATTTGGACGCTAAGTTTTTTACCCTAGCCGCCCAGTCCATGATGGTTTCGTCCACGTTTCGATTTGCGTGATAAAACTTAAAACGTTCTGGAAACAATGCTTTTTGTGGTGCGAAATGTTTATCACACAATTCAATTAAAGCCTTGAAGTCCGTTGCATCGGGAGAATTTGGCACACACAGATTACTTATTAACTGATAACTCTCTTCGTTGCAGGCGTTTAACAATAACGCCCTTTTTATCTCTTGTTTGTCCACATTGTTTACAATGAAAAACTGAAACAGCCTCTCTTTGTAAATGGTCCAGTTACACTCTTTAGGGTTAAACTCCCTAATGTAGCCATTGTACGTAGATGCCGCCATAACTAAACACCTCACGCACTTATTTTGGGTACCCTAAGACCTTTTTACTTTGCTAATACGGTTTCTCGTCGCCAACTGTAATATTCATTTATTCAAACCCAAACATACAATATTATATCAAAACCATAATCCATGAGTGCAGTCTGGCGCGATAACTTACAATCATGCGTACAATTACTACAATATGACTCATATCTAACAAGCACTTTAAACCTCTATACAGAGCCGTCTTTTATTTTTTGAATACCTGGTAGGTCTTGCAGTGAGAGGTTTTTGCCCTTTTCCCACAATTTAATGAAACTGCATTTAGCCGGTTCTGCACGCAACCTCCTCAGTTACTTATTGGTATATGGTTAAAAAGGGATTTATTATCTAAATGAGTATATTTTCTAAAAATTTCGAAAAAACGCAATGATTTTGAAAAATTAAAGTAAAGGAGAAAATGGTATAATTATAAAACTAACACCGATAATCTAACTTTTTTCAAGTACCAGTGGCGCCGCCAGGGGGTGGGCCGGGTGAGCCCTGGCCCACCTGTAGAGCTGTTCGGCCCCCCATTGGCCCACCCTGGTCAATTAAATAGACTTCGCATTGAACAATCAAGGAGCAACCGTTTACATTTTACACTTTTTGACTTTTACAGACATATTCCTAGAAGTCGATAGATACAAAAATTCTCAAACTGCAGATCTTTTAAAATTGAAAAGTCACGTACAGTACAGAGAGAAAAAGGATGGTAAATTCTTTTCTTTACATTTGAGTAATCCGTGTACCGCTTCTTATCTTACCTAAACTTGCTAAGTAGACAAGTATACCTCACATTTAACAATTAACAAAGAACTTATCTTATGTTTTAATATTTATGACAGGAAACCCGTCAAATTGTTGTTTTGCAAAATGCGAATTACTCTTTCATTTTTGTGTCACCTAACACCTTTGAGGTTTGAGCGGACGCCGCGTCGCCGCCTACCTTAAGACCAAAACAAATATTAGACGGGATTGTTCGTTTTTAGCTGCAACTGCGATGTGCACTTACTTGGTTACGTGAATAGTGATTTGTTTCGTTTTTGTTTTGTGATATTGGAGTCGAAGTCCGAAGATATATTATTTATCAAAGATGTAAGTACCAATTTCCAGTATGTTCAATTAATTAATTGTTCCATTTCTCCATGTTATTTTTTTACATAGAGTGCAAGGAAATTTAAAAAAAATTAAATTTTATAGTTAGGTATACATTTACATAACGAAATTCTACCTTTTTAGAGTTCTGCCAAACATGGACGTGGCTAGCTTACAAATTTATGGGGTGCTAAAGCTAAAGTTTCAAATTGAATAATTCATTTGCGTTGGCCCCTTTCTCCCTTTCAAAAAATATCTATAAACTGCAGCAGTTATTTTTTACCAAAATATTCAATTTTCAGTAGGTGTGCCATTGCCATGAGCAAGCGAAAAATTAGCGACTTTTTTCGTAGTGGTACCTGTACTTCATCAAATGTATGCGAAATTAGTAACGAAAATAAAAAAAGAAAGCGAATCGGCGACATTCCCACGAGTGATAATGAAAACGTTAGTAGTTCCAAAAAAGATGGCACTGACGAGTTATTTGCTGAATATCTCAGAGCGATGTATCGTCTGGCTCTTCCAGTGAAAATTTGAGTGATCATGATCTTCATCTCGGAGATGAAGAACAGGTTACTGAATCGGAACATTCGATGGTATGTATAATGTATGTGCTCGTACAAAAAAATGTATTCTATACACATTGGCAAAACAAATGAAATTACCACCAGTACTTAAGTAGCATAGCCGTAGCACCGGCAATATTTACTTAGTGAATAATCACGGTATCACTTTACTTATATCTAATACGCATATATAATCGCTATTTTATACTTACTTGTAGCCAATATTAAACATTAATTCCTATTACTGAAATGTTTTTTTCAGTATACCCAAGAAATGGAAAATGAAAATACTTTCAATTTCAAACTCCCTGGTCCGAAAGACATATCTTCTTCTATGACAAGTGATGCAGTTCAACCCAAGCTAAGAGTTTATCCACAAACCAAATTCGGCAACAGATCGCGCAGTTTTAAATATCATTGGTTTAATAAGTTTAATTGGTTAGAATATAGTGTTTTAGAAAATAGTGCTTCTTGTTATTCATGCAGACGATTTTCATCGCAAAGAAACGAAAAAATGTTCCATTCATAAGTCTAGGATTTAAAAACTGGAAACGAGCTATGGAAAGGGATTCTGGGTTTCATAAGCATTTAATTAGTGAAAATCATAGAAAATCTGAAGTGAAGTTCCAAAATAAATTTAAAAAGTCTGTATCAATTCTAACTGAAATAGATCAGGCTACACTGAAAAAATCCGTTAGTACGTCATAGAGAAAAATTGGTTAAGAATACAAAATGTTCTAATGAAATAGGTGACACCTAAAACAACTTGTATCAGATACAAGTACAAACTCGTTATAAACCTTTTGTATAACGTACTAAAACAAAATTGTTTTTTAAACAAGATTGTGTGCCTACAACACATACAACTACAGTATTATATACTGAAAAATTGCAATTATAAATATACATATAATGCTATAGGTTTGTGTATAAGCTCTTTATTTGTTATGCATTACTACTACAAACTATATTTCAAAGACATACTTTCTATATGTCATACTTCATAACTAACTATATACTCAAGAGGCTGATTCTTTAGAATATAAAAAAAGTGCGGAACTATTGCATACTAGTTAAATATATGTAACATAATTGGTTTGATCTTGTTAGTACTTTATATGCTTGTAGTATTGCAAAGATGTCTTTTTTATAAAAGTATACACACTCGGTTCCTGTATGATCCACCTACATAATTAATTTTACATATTTTGTTGTGTTCATACATGTCCATCTTTTGATTTTGTATGATAAATAAATATAAAATATGTATATATAAATATAGCATTCGTGTTAATGTGAAGTATTTTGTTTTTTCCTTATTTGCAGGTATTTCCTTGTATTTCGATAAACGCCACTTTTTAGAAATTTATAGTTATATCAAAACGAAAACCACGTTTATATTTCACCATTTTAATAGTTGGGTATATCATAATACAAAAAATATATATAAAACATTTAAAATAAAACTAAAACTTATATGGAATGGTTATATACAACTTTCCCTTAATGTTATTAAGGGCACATGGTGCAACATTATATAATGATGCATAATTAACTATTGACAGGGAATTCGTTTGTTTGCACACTTCGTATGCTTGAAAATGTTTGTCAAAACAAACAATTTGAAATTTATTGTAAATAAACTCACACTTGCGTCTTTCTGTAGAAATGTAAATGTCCATTATTTCACCAAAATTTATATCAAGTGAACCGTCGTCTACGGCAATAACGTAACTTTGCTTATATTTTATGCCGTCGATATTTACCCAAGTAGTACTAAGATACTCATTGTTTAATTCAGCACACCTATTTTTTATTTCTGAATAGTTAATAAATTTTTCAAAGTTAATTTTTGAACACTTACCAAAATTAAATGTATGTATAAGCAATATGTTCTGCATTAAGGATAAGGAGATGTTAAGTTGATATTTTTTTGCGAGAGAATGAGTGACCATTTTGCGAGAGTTAATTGCATTTGCGATTGTTTTAAAAGTTTTGTGTTTGGCTTCGAAACGAATACTTGAAAATCCCTCAAACGGTCCACTCATTTCTAAAATTCTGGGGTAATGTGTTAACATGTGAAATTTAAACGGTAATGAAATTGGTTTAAATAATGTAACATATAAATTATTATGCTTTTTTATTAGATTTTCTAACGTTTTCGAGGTCCCAATTTGAAGTCTTTTGGCAGTCAGGAAGTGTACAATTTTTTTTAATAATAAGTAAAATTTCCATACGGTATTATTCGCAGGAACTATATCACCACAGAGAACAGAAAAATATATTTTCTTGTTCCGAATATCTTCCTCTAATATTGCAGGTGGAGTATTTGAAATTTCTAGACCATTTGTAAATACACTCTAAAAAATGAAAGTGAATTTACCCTTAAAAAGATGTGCATTTGCCCCTAAAGTAAAGGTACTTCTTCCAATAAGTAGTAGTTTTACTACATTAAGTTGGAGTTACCATAAGAAAGTGAATTTACCCTTAAAAAGATGTGCATTTGCCCCTAAGGTAAAGGTACTTCTTCCAATAAGCAGTAGTTTTACTACATTAAGTTGGTGTTACCATAAATATCATAATATATTCCCAATCTCACGCGTTTTTGTACTACAAGCCAGACATTTTCCTATTATCTTATGGTAAATTTTTTTCCACAAGATATTTTCACCTTCGAGATACGAAAACACCTTTTTTATAGTATTTCATCATAACATAATCTTACTTTTATAAATTCATTTACCCGCACTTAAAATGCAAATTCTGTTGTTGGATTTTTGAATCTGAGCCTATAAATTTACTCTTATAAGGGTTAATATTACTTATAAATTATTTTACGCCGGTAGACTTTACATTGAAGAATCAATTCAATATATTTTGATTGACCTGCACAATGGTATTAACAGGGAAATTACGCGATTGGATTTAGGATTTACTCTGTAAACAGGATCTGCTACTAACCTAGCTCAATTCCAAAGACTAACAAATTCTTATGATAAGCGATGAGATCATTTCCTCTGACAAAATACAGTGCTCCTGTGTAAGCGTAAACGCGCTATCAGCAAAAACAATAAAATGCGACTACGAGGCTGGCGACATTATAACCGCTTTAAAAATAAGTGAGCTGAATTGCACCTTTTCAACTACGAGTAACGAGTGCCTTTATAATACTGAATTAGTGAATTTAGACCGTGTCGGTATATCGTTCATAGTGGTTGTGGTTCTCTGGTGCCGTTTGGTTACGGACGTATATGTAAGTAAATATTACCATTTAATTCCTTAATTTTCATGGCGCCTGTATTTAAATGTTGTACTTGTACGCGACATTTTTCAACAATCGAACTGTACAATACACACCAGTATCTGCACAGAAACATAGTTAATGTGCGATATTACTGCAAGTACGAAAAATGTTACTTACAGTATAGTAACTATAAAAGCTTTAAGATGCATTTGTATAGAACTCATATGAAAAAAAAGGTTAAAATTCGCAATGCCACTGTTAGCGACACGTACATTTGCAATGTAGAAAATTGTAACTTCCCAGCTACTAGTAATCATAATCAGTTTTTGTCACATATGTATAACCATATTAAAAATAATATTGATATAAAATGCCCTTTTTCGAATTGTGCTTACACAAAAAAATTTTCTCGTGTTTCAAATTTTAAATCTCATTTTTATAGAAACCATTACAATGCCACAGAGACAAAAACAGATAAGAATACCTCGTCACTTAGTATTGTAACCCCCGAAGATATTAATCCATTTTTAAACGATATAAGCATACCTGAGGACGATACAGACTATAATGAAAATGGCGATTTTGAATTGGCCCTAAAGAATACGTATGTACATTCGTTGGCAAATACTTATTTGACTTTACAAGCCAAGCATTTTTTAACAGATAGTGCATTGCAAACATTAATTGATGGGATATCGGATATTTACGACATTAGCCAAAAAAATGTATGCAGCTTCCTTAAAGCTAAAAAAATATCTCCGGATGTTATTAAGGTCGTAAAAAACCAAAATTTATTTGATCACGCACACAATTCTGCAAATGGTGTATTAAGGTCTCCTTACATAAGAAAAAAATTTTACAAAAAGGAGTTTAATTACGTAGAACCTGTTGAAGTATTACTAGAGAAGAGTGGCAAAAAAAAGGTGTTTTTTATGTATATCCCAATATTAGAAACCATAAAAGTCTTAATGGCAAACACTAATTTTTATGATCAATGGAAAACCATAAGAACTTGTCAGAAAAACGTATATACGGACTTTTTTGATGGCGAATGTTACCGCAATAGTACATTTTTTAAGGATAATCCGTCAGCTTTTCAGATCATACTTTATCAAGACGCATTTGAGATATGTAATCCATTGGGTTCGTCCAGGAAAATTCACAAGATTGTTGGAATATACATGACGATTGCAAATGTACCTTCCTACAACAGAAGCAAAACTGACCATATTCAGTTAGTTGCGCTGTGTTACGAAAGTTCAATTAAAAAGTTTGGTTTTGATAAAGTTATGGATATTATTATTCGAGATATTAACATTTTGGAATTAGAAGGAATTTTAATAAAAGATGAGATCATAAAGGGTACAGTGGTTGCAGTTTGCGGTGACAACTTAGGAAGTCATCAAATTGGTGGTTTCGTGGAAAATTTTAGTACGAGTAGTCATATGTGCCGATACTGCGAAATTAGTAAAAAACTAATGTCGGTTCAAAATAGTTACACCGACCCCATTTCATTAAGAACTCAACACTCATATGAAATAGATGTGGCTATTGCAGCGACATCAGGCGAGCCGTCAAAAGGTGTTAAATTCGATTCTGTTTTAAATAAGTGTATGTTTTTCCATGTTTGTAACCCCGGTTTGCCTCCATGTTTGGCTCATGATGTTTATGAAGGAGTGTTGCAATGTGACTTTATGCTTTGCTTGAATAATCTTATTGCAAAAAAGTATTTTACCTACGATTATTTTAACGACAAAATACAAAAAATAAGGTTTATCTCTGAATCAAAGTATGAAAATATACCTACAATTAAAAAGTCTGAAAAATTACCCGGTAATGCATCAGAAAATTGTAGGATACTTCAAATATTTCCCTTTGCTTTACATGAACTCTCTTTCGAGGACGAACCCGCGTGGGAAATGTTGTTAAAATTGCGCGAAATTAATTTACTATTAATGGCGCCAAAACTGTCGGTGATTCATATAGCACATTTGCGCTTAATGATTTACGATTATATAGAATTGAGAACCACACTGTTTTCAAATACACCTTTAAGACCAAAACATCATTACTTAAAACACTACCCGTTTCTAATAAAAAAATTTGGGCCATTGAAACATTTGTGGACTCTCAGATTTGAAAGCAAACACCTTTATTTTAAAAATGTCTTGAAGCATTCTCCAAATTTCAAAAATGTGCTTCATACTCTATCCGAAAGGCATCAATTATTGCAAAGTCAAATTATGACGCACGGATATGGAACCGTTTTTACTAACAAAGCGACTTCTGACGATGCTGTTCCATATGTCTCTGAAGATTTTGAGCTTGTGGTAGCAGCATGCATATCTAATTCATCACCATTACCACTAAACCAAAAACTTTTAGTATCGCAAAGAGTGACATTTCGAGGTATAACTTTTAGCAAAAATATGTATGTATGTATAGCTAAAACAGAAGACGATGACTTTGTATTATGTCGTATTAAACATATAATAGTCAATGAGTTCTATACTAACTTACTGTTTGTTGGAAATGAAGTTAAAATCACTCGGAACAAGGCTTTAGGTCTGTTCGAAGAAACTGAAAAAGTAAATAATAATGTTATTACTGGGTGTAATTTTGGTGACCTGTTATCACATGAACCGTTATTTGTGTATTTAAGTTCCAGTAATAAGTTATTATTTTCGTTTAAATCGGCACCATTCGAATATTCAGATTAATTTTTTTCATGCTTACGGTAGTATCTCTCATGATCCAATTTTTTTGTCTTATATACACTTTGTATTTTTGTCAAATTTCTTTGTTTTGTATTTTGAATGAAATGTCATTGGAATTGTTTATTTTATATTATTTTATTATTTTATTTTACTGCATATGTTGACATAACATAAATTTAATTTTAGTTAAGTTTAAAACTAATTATATGGAAAATTTGGTAAAAAGCGTAATGTCAAAAGTGTGGGTGGGTGGACTTTGCCACCTCAGTGCATTATGCATTTTACAAAGATGCAATTGTGATTATAATCTTATAATCTCACCTGTAAGAGATGTTTGTTTTTTACTTTTGTTCGCAGTCAATCTTCTGTAAAAATGGCGTATATATTCAAAACGTGGAATGTAAGGCGTACAGCAAAAAAAGTCGTTTTCCTGAACGAATCTACATCAGAATTGTGCAAAACACTCATTGTTGAAGGTATATAACGTGTTTCAATGTTTTTACATAGTATTTTTATTAATTTGTTATAGCTTCCAAAAAACTTAATATTAACGGAGTACGCTTAGTTTTGGAATCTGATGGGACCGAAATAGATGACGACGAAGTTGTAAAAATACTTCATAAGGAAATTTTTCTTGTGCTAGAGGAAACTGAAGAATGGAGTAGAGCAGCGGATGACACGCATCTGAGTATGCATTCGCATGATTCCGCTTCATCTGCATTAACTGTGGAAAACCTATCTGAATTTGATACTGACAGTGGTAGCACAAGGGCATCCACGCCAAGCTCTTGTAGTAGTCGTACAATAAGTGAAAATACGTGGCTGTCATTCAAAATTCCATACGAAAAGATGAGTTCTACAGCAATGAAGAATTTTGAAAATGGTGTACGTTGTCGTCAGTCAATAAAAGACATGATACATTTGGTTACTGACGAAATGCTCGAAGTGGCCGAAGGCTTTGTTCCCAACACAGCATGCAAAATTATTGCAAGAAAACTCGTAGATAAATTCCCTAAAATTTTTCAAGATAGAGACGACGATGGCACTGTGATCGGAGACGGCGCAATTACAACATACAATCAGGTGAAAGAAAGAATTAAGTACGTAACAGCTTCAAGAAAACGACTACAGCGACCGAAAAATAACCCAATTCCCGTCAACAAAAGAAGAAAAATGATGAACTTGAAATCTGGATGTGTAAGTTGGCAACCAGAAATACAAAATAATTTGACCAACGATGACATGGAAAATTACCTTAGAACAGCCGATTTTGAAACTTTTGACGAGATAACACAAGACATGATGAACAAATCGTATCCTAAGCAACGTTTATTTTTAAATAGTTTACCACCACCATCACTGCAGAGTATTAAAGAAACATGGCCGATCTTATTATGCAAAAATGGAATATATTTTCATTACCAAAAACTAATGGGCCATAGCATTAATAATTTAACAGACACTTTAATTGCAAAATCTAACAAGTTTTTTACTTTTGGACTGAATAAGAAATGGATTAAGGAAATTCCCGTTGATAGGGAAGAGGATGAAGTAATTGTGACCGTCTTGCAGATTATCGTGAAATACTTTCAGGAAACTTTAACAGTTTTATACTGCAATATTGGTGTAAGTATTTTTGTATTATTACAGTATGGAAGAAGAGGTGTGGCTTGAGTGAATGTTTTGTTGACGGCCAATTTATCGGTCTTTATATGGCAAGCAATTTTATTTGGAAACGATGGTTTCCGTCATGTATTTACTTGTCAAATGAAGATAGGTATAATGGCGTTACCTAATATAAAATATATATAGTGTGTTAAAAGAATTTCCGATATTATGTCATTAATCTCGTGCAGTCTGTTTTCGAATATGTTTTAATAGTAACAAAAATGTGCAGTCGTGCATATTTTTTATGAGTACTAAACGTGGATAAAATATTGGACTTTATTTTGAAACACTGTATATGCACCGTGCCTAAGATAAGAATGTCTATCATGGGAAACCATAGAAAATAGGACAATGGTCAAATAATGGAAAAGTGGAGCAATTAAAGTGTCTTCCGAATATTCACCGATTTTGCTTTTATTTTTTTCTGAATGAAATCTAAAAAAATTTAAAACACTTGCATTGTCATTTTTTGAGCTCTACAAGACATCGTTGGGAGATTTTTAGTTTCGTTTCAGAGAAATCATAATCTTTATTTTTTATATAACCCGCAAAAAAGTACATATTATATTGCGTAAAATTTTTTATTTCGAATACAACGATGTATGATACAAAATAAAACAAAAGTTGAAAACTGTTGGTTTCCACATGATGGTGCGCTCTGGAAAATGGAAAAAATTTCCTTTCTATTTTAACTGAATGTTTTTTTTACTTCTAGGACGAATCTGATATTGAGTCTACGACGACAAACGCTCCTGCTATTGCATGTTTACAGAGTGGTTAGTATATAATGTCTGTGAAAATGCAGTCAGTTTTGTCTTTTTAGCTGTAGATGATAACCAAAAAACATATCTGGTCGTAATGGAAGGTCAGAAAGTTAACTCTAATTGCAATTTAAGGAGTGCGCTGCAGCAAATGTTTGCGTTATATTACATTTTTAACCTGGAGTATCCCAAACAAATTGCGAATACAATGGAATTGATACAGAGTTACTTTCTAAAAATTCACCCACAGCAAGGCACACGCAATAGAAAATCGTGTGCGAAAGCAAAGATAGCCACTTTTTTAAACAAACTGCGAGATGAATAGGCAACGAGATTATAGATTATACGTAAGTATATTCAAAATGTTTTAAGTATTTACATTTTTTTTTATTTTTAGGTTCAGGAAGATGAAGTTTTGTTTCATTTAGTGTATATAGGTATATATTTTTAAGTTATAAGTTAGGTACTGTTTTTTATTTGTATTATTTTTGATTTTATTATATATACATAGTACGTGCATTATTTTATTATCTTTTGAGGGAATTGAAGATAAACTGTTCCGTGCTCGACTGCAGTGTTCAAGCCTAGTCAACGTAACATAGTTACTCACTAAGTGGATTGATAAAGACACTAAACCTTCCCCATACTTCTTTTAATTATTTCAGGTATTAGATTAAAAGCATTAGGTGACAGCGACTATAGTTTCGACCCGAAGGTCATTTTCAAGCTGAAATATTATAATTTGAAACAATGACTAAGTGGATTTCTTTAATTTAAACAATTGTTTTATAATATGTGAGGACAAAAAGTTTTTAAATTGTTAATATTGTTATTGTTCCCATGTTCTAATTAGTAATTTTTCCCCGTAAGTATAACTATTTTCTAGACTCGTTTTTAACACATGTTTTACAGCATATTGATAACCAAATGTACCATTTTAATATGTAATTTTCAACCACCTTTATATGTTCCTTTAAACTTAAGGTAGGTCACCTAGGTCTTAGTCATTGTTTCAAATTATAATATTTCAGCTTGATAATGACCTTCGGGTCGAAACTATAGTCGCTGTCACCTAATGCCTTTAATCTAATACCTGAAATAATTAAAAGAAGTATGGGGAAGGTTTAGTGTCTTTATCAATCCACTTAGTCAATATCACCCCTTTTTGAGTCGTTATAAGATGGATAGCTACCAATAGTTACTCACATATATACTGCGAATATCTTCAATGCTTTATAATTTTTGAGAAAAAATTTCGTAATTTTTAACTGCAAAATTACTGTGGCAATTTAAACAAATGAATAAATTTATAATATATTTAGGTATTTATTTTAAGTAGGTAAATTTCCCAAAGATTTTTCATTGTGTGTAAAATTACCAGGAAGCTTTACCTTCCAAATGTAATTTTTATGGCAATTTTCCTGTACATTTTTACTTCGTAGGTAAAATTACTGTGAAACTTACCCGACAAATGTAAATTTGTTAGGTAATATTACATTGCATGGACATTATTACTCCATATTTTTCACTATGAAAGGTAATATTACACGGCAAATGTAAATTTATTAGGTAATATTACATAGCATGGAAATTTACCCGATATATTTCACAATGAAAGGTAATATTACACTTTTTTAGGCAGAAATACTTTACAGAAAAAAATACCTTTAAGATAAGAGGTAACATAGTTGCCCCTTATTTTAAAGGTAAATTTCCCAAATGATTTTTATGAGTGTACCTGAATACGATAGTTTAATACATTCATAGAGAAAATCTTGTTATCTATAATAAAGTATTGAAGTATAGCAATGAAATCGTACTTTGCAACTCCTTCCAAAAAAAACATCATGCATTGAATCACAAGCATAATTACGTGTTAAATGAAAATTTGGTATTGCATGCCAAACACAATTAGATTTTATTGCACTTTCTGAAATATTATTAAGCAAATCTTCATCATAATTTTCCTCCGTCCTTAAAAACTCTTCACTTTCAACTGAAAGCGAAGGCCAACTGTTTTTGGGAGATTTGCACAAACGACATGGAAAACCTCCACTAAAACTTTCTATCAATCCTAGTATCATGTTTTGCCCCAAATTATCCCCAATAATCAATCCCAAATCAAAGTAAATCTTTTCAGTTCTGTTATTTACTTTTACCTCAATACCAACTTCATAAAGATATCGAATTTCGTCAATAAGATTTTGAAAAATTCTTTTATTGCCTAAATTTTTTCTGTGAGAACTTTTAAAAAGCATTGCTAAGTGAATATATTCTAGTTTTCTGATCACATTTGGCGGTATACAAGGTATGTTGAAGTATACAGCACCAATCTTATTAATCCCTGAGTGAGAACCCAGAGGATTGCCGCATTCGAATTCGTGAAAATAAAGAAACAAAGGAACTACAAATTTGTCTCCAAAATGTAAACGATTTCCTTTCCAGTATTTACCTTGAACAAAATTAGAAATTATATTATTTTCAGATTCTAGATATTCCATATAATTTTTAACCATTTCGAAAAAATTGGATATTTCAAACAAGCTTTGTAACGTCTTTCGTAATGGTACATAAGTGATGCATATTTTCTGTAAAGCTCTAATTTTTAGTTTATTTTTTACTATAGTTTTCATCTGAGAGCCAATGATGAGATTTTCAGGTTTAACAAAGACACCTAATCTTGTTAAAAAATTGCAAAATCTTTGTTCTGACGAAAAATCTAAAGCTAATCTTCGAAAAGATTGGGAAAAGTTTGCACGTTTCGTAATAATTAATTGCTTGGTGCCAGGATCATCAACAAATTCCATCAAGTTGTCAACAAATGCTGATATGATGAAATCGCACATAATTACAGCTTCTTGCATGAAACTAAATACATATTTTCTAGGTACCTTGTTTGTAGGAAATAGTTTTTCTATAAAAGTTAATAGTAAAATTTGCAGTTCGGTAATTCTTAAGTTCAACTTGTTAATATATACACTTTCTCTATTTAAGCTCAGAGGGGCAATTTTGCAATCATCCTGTCTAGATAAATTATGTTCGGGTTGATGAGTATCCAAGAATCGAGATTGGGAGACACCAGTAGTGCAATCTTTTTGAATAGTGTTTGCTGAATTAAAACAATGAGTATTATTATAATGTTTTCTTAAAGACTTTAGTGTGGTAAAATTTCGAAAGCATAATTAATCGGGACATGACAAATATTTTCCATTGTGGTTAGTTTTGAAGTGACACAAAAAACCCTTGAAGTTACTAAATTTGTTTAAGCATACTTTACATAACATTGCAATACAACTTACCGAAATATATTTAGCGAAACAAATAATTATTCAGCAGATGGTTCAGTAATAATTTGTAGCTCACTTAATAAATCTGATTGAACACTAGATACGGAATTATAACGTACGTCATTTACCGTATTTATTTCATATGTTTTTTTGAATGTATGTCCAGCATGCCTCGCATTCCTTCGGGTACTTAGCGTTCAGGGAAAAAAAGGACTTGAAGCATGTATCCACTGCTTTTAGTACAGTTTCAATATCATATAAAATGGTATCGATCTTTAGTAGTGCCCTGCTGGGTCTTCTTAAATCTCCGACCACAAAGACACTGGGTTGGCCAGCAGTTTTGGTGGCCAACAATTTATTTTCTCTTTCCTCTAAAGCACTAAATAGATAATTTCGTTGAATTTTTAGGCACTAGTGCGCGAAAGTAGATAGTCAATTGTAAAATTGACGTTCCCGACGTTCATGTTTTATTGGGAAAACGCGATTTAGAACGAAGGAGTGCAAAAAATGATTTATTGATACTGATACTCCTCCCATATATAACACAAGTCTATCGAATTATGGCCCAACCTAAAGCATATTGGCCCCAGATTGGTCCACCCATTGAAATTTTTCTGGCGGCGCCACTGTCAAGTACCTACCTACAGACGTTGTTTTCATCATTGCAATTACTGCAAAGGACATCAACGCTATTGATAGCAACCTTTTATAAGGTACCTAATGCCTCTTAGAAAAACAAATAAAATATGATAGTCTAGGCCCTAAATGCAGAGGAGCATGTCACAAAAAACATCTTAATCTCCAGCAATTAAATTAAAGACCTTTTCACTTTCACTAATTGTGCAGTAATTAATAGCTTCCAAATCGTAATCACGTTTATTGTTAGTATTTGGTATAAATAGGTGGCCTAATTTACTTTATTTGAATCAGTTCTTCATAGTCTGACCGGTACGTACCTACAAAATTGTAAATTGTGTTGAATTGGAGCCTGGAGGAACGATGCTTGTCATTAATAACGTTAGTACTACCTATTATACACTTTCTTAATACTTTGTTTTTGTTTGTTTTTACGTCTTGTGTAATTTACCACACACTAAATAACCCCCTGTTTTATATCTAACTCATGATTTATTTTGTTTCAGAACGAAGTGATCTTGTTGGCGGATTCGAACCTGAGGAGACTGGCCACTGCCCAGTTGGCCCGAAGAGCCTCGACCTACAATCCTGTACCTTCTAACCGCAGAAGGGTTTTTGTGGAGCTGGCCATAGGTGGCCAAACGATTGGCCAGCTCCGGAAGAGAGCCTTACGAAACCTGCGGTAGGACATAGAGTACAGGAGCTGGCTCGGGAGGTGACCGTTTTGATTGGCGGAAATGGTATACGCAGGGTAAGTACATATCTGCGGTTGCATTAAACATTTATAAACGGAGTTCTTTTTGATTACAGAATGCAAAAATCCGCAGCATGCGCATAGGCATCCACCGGCTGTTGAAAGACCTGAAAAGTTGCAAGATTGAAGTTCATCTCTGCACCTACCCCACTGTAAAACTCCCTCCACTGCAGCAAGAAGTTGCTGACCAATTCAACCAGTTTTTAAGGAGTGTGGCGCTGGCGAATAAAAATGGTAAGTTAATGAATATGATTGATATTT